AAAAAAAAAAAAAATTGAAAATATACTTATTTTGTATAGTGTGAAGAGAGGGGAAGAAAAGACATTTCGGGTAGAGAGAACAAAGTAAACTAAGACCTTGAGAGGTAAAACAGTGGAGGATTAGAGAATCTAAGAGGAACATGGCTTTAGCATAAACATAACAAGGATTAGAGAAAGAGAGGCAGAAACTAGATCATGAAAGTCTATGTATCACTAAGAAGTTTAGCCTTTACATGTTAAGTATCTTTGGAAGATATTAATCAGGGGAAAGATAAAGTTCTGTTTTAAAAAGAATACTTCAGGAATAATGTGAAGGGTGGATGCAAGGAAAGATGAATACAGCATTAAAGACAAAAACCTATTGCACTAGTCCAAGTGAGGGTCTAAATTAGCATAATAGCAATAAGTATGGAGGGGAAAAATGAATACCAGAGGGGTTAAGCAGGGATAATCCACTGGTCGTGGTGACAGGCAAGATGTTAAGAGGAAAGGGAAGGAATCTAGATGACTTCCAGGTAAGTTTCCAATTCTAATGGAGTCAGAGTTTATTTTAATGTTTGAAAATTTGTTTCCTTTTATGTGGCATTTATGTATTTATTTATTTGAAGTATATTAATTAATAGCTTGCTGAATATCCTTGGCTGAGAGCGTTTGATTTTTTAAATGTTTTGATCCTTTTAATATTTATTTTTAATAAATATACTTTATTTTCTAACTTTATTATTTTGGTTTTGTCCTAAATTCACTTTCTACATTTTTATGATATACTAACTCCAACTTAATATACTCGCATGATGAATATATTTTAGAATTTGAATGAAAAGTGACAATTCCATATATTAAGAATCATTAAAAATCTTCTATATTAACATTTTAGATTAAGTTGTTGAAAACATTAATGTATTTGTTTTAGGTGCATCTCTTAGATATCAATAGGTATTTTAAACTTTAATAAACATTTTCTGATTGATACTGTTTACTTGTCTGTCACATGGTTAGGTAACTGTAATAAAGAGTTCTTAAAAAGAACAGGCAAATGCTACTGAAGAAATTTGCAAAGGTCTCAGGAAGAATATAGAAAAGAAAGAGGATAGCAATATTCATCCCTGCCTTATTTTCCCCCCACACCCTGCTTTCTTTCCATTTTTATGTTCCAACTATTTAGCTGAATACTTGTTGAATTTTTTTCAGTATTTCTATTGGACTTATTAAAAAACAAAAAACTTAGGCTTACTGCACTTAATGAGTTTCTTTCTTTTCTTTTTTCCTTCCTTTTTTTACTTTTTAATATGTAAAAGCACATATCAAAGCTAATTTTTCCCACGTCAAATGGGCCTTTCCAGTGCTTATTTATATTTACAGGATGGTTTAATACAGCAGTGTGGTGAGACAATGAAGGAAACAATTAATGTGAAAACTGTATGTGGCTATTACACATCAGCAGGGACCTATGGATTAGATTCTGTAAAGAAAAAGTGAGTTACCTTTCTTATTTTTCCTCCCACCCCATTTTTAGGAATTTGGTTGCTTTAGTTTCTAAAGCTATGAGAATGAATTAAGGAAAAACAGGATGGGGATAGGATTTTGTAAAATAAAAGTCCCTGTTTACTTTTGGGCTAATTAGTAAATTCCTCAAAAGTGTGTATTTGTAGGTAACCATGGGTGAGTTATATACACACTTATAAAAACTATGGTTACTCTTTATAGTACATTTTCTGTTAAAATTGTTTACGGAGTAGACATACTATTATATCAGTGCAACAATTGACAGTCTTTTTAACTCTTGAGAATTGAGGTACCTATTTTCATATTTTAAAGAAGGTTATAGAAGTATGCAAACCCTTTCATAAATCATTTAACACAGACTTGAAATTTTCTTAATTAGAAATGCTCTTATTAATATAAAGGGAATATTCCCTTAATAACCACTGACAAAAACAATACTAAATTTCTGATTGTTAAGCTAAAAATTTTGAGCATGTCCTAGCAAGATTAATTTTCTATTTTTAACTGTGAGTCCTACTTAATAAATTATATGTACTTGATATATAAACATGTAATAATTACATGTTTTAATTTCAGGTGTCTTGAGTGGCTTCTAAACAATTTGATGACACACCAGAATGTGGAACTTTTTAAAGAGCTCAGGTATTTGAATTTTAAATGACTTCATAATTAATCATCCCCAGATATATTTCACTTGTTAAAGGATACAAGATATTTTTGTAGAGGCTCAGCGCCTATGGCTCAAGTGGCTAAGGTGCCAGCCACATACACCTAAGGTGGCAGGTTCGAATCCAGCCCGGGCCTGCCAAACAACAATGACGGCTGCAACCAAAAAACAGCCGGGTGTTGTGGCGGGCGCCTGTGGTCCCAGCTACTTGGGAGGCTGAGGCAGGAGACTTGCTTGAGCCCAGGAGTTGGAGGTTTCTGTGAGCTGTGATACCACAGCACACTACTGAGGGTGATAGCTTGAGGCTCTGTCTCAAAAAAAAAAAAAAAATTTATAGAACACAAAAATATATTAATTATAGGAAAGAGAACAATTGAATGAAAGGTCTTAAGTACATTCATAAACTGAAATGCTACACAAATTCTTTGTTGTGAATGACAATGTATATTATGTCTACTGTTATGATCAATCTTAATAGAAAAATGCATTGCTATTATAAGACTATAGAAAAGTTTTAAGTTCTAGAATCTAAAGTTATATTTTAAAAATCACCTTTATCATTAAAAATTAAATTTGAGGAAATTGTTTTATGAGGTGGGATCTCACTATGTTGCCCAGCCTGGACTCAAACTCCTGGGCTCAAGCAGTCTTCCTGCTTCTGCCTTCTGGGTAGCAGGGATTACATTTTCATGCCACTACACTGAGTTTAGATTAACCTTTTGAATTAAGTCTGCCTATGTTATTTCTCCCTTCCCCTCCCCTCTCCCCTCCCCTCCCCCCTCTATCTCCTCTCCTCCTCTCCTACCCTCTCCCCTCCGCAAATACTTCCTGAATACTTACTATGTATAAAGATACTATGTTCTGGTCTGTGGAAGATGCAGAGATGATTATATCATGGTTTTGCTGCCAAGGAGATTATTTGTAGTAATGGGGCTAAGATATCTATAATGAGTCTGAGAAATTCTGGGTGGAAATTAACTTCTGAAGGCCAGTGGGCTTTAAAGTCATTTTTAGACTTGCATTTCCTTGATGGTAGTGCTTCTGAGACAGAAGTACATATGTGCCCAGGAGTTATGTGACATTCTGGTGGAAACATACAAAACTGAAGACTTAGATTTACATAGCTTTCTAGGATGTCAATATTATTGATTTGGAGGTTGAGAGAGGAGAGAGATAAACATTTTTATGTTTGGATACATTATGGAATAAAAAGAATTTAAATTTGAGTTCTCAAGATAAAACACAATTCATAGAAATGTTTTTTTTTTATGTCTAGGCAACCTCCTAGGTTCTTGAATTCTTTTCTTTCTTTCTGTAAGAGATACTTTAATAGAAAAGTTTGAGAAGCATTCATCACCCAGTGATGTCAAGGCGTGAACAGATCTCCAGCATGCTTGATTTGAAAATCACTTGAAACACTTTAATTTCTTTCTCTTTCTTTTTTTTTTTAGAGACAGAGTTTCACTTTGTCACCCTCGGTAGAGTGCCGTGGCATCACAGCTCATAGTAACCTCCAGCTCTTGGGCTTGGATGATTCTCTTGCCTTAGCCTCCTGAGTAGTTGGGACTACGGGTTTGTACCCGCCACCCTCAGTATATGAGGCCGGCGCCCAATAATTTCTTTCTCTTTCATACAGTTAGCCCTCTGTATCCATGGATTCAACCACTGCTGATTGAAAATATTTGGAAAAAATTAAAAATATACAGCAAAAACAATGCAAATGAAAAACACAGCAGTGTAACTATTTACATTCTACTAGGTATTTTAAATACATTTAGAGATGATTTTATACAGGAGGATGTGCATAGGTTATATGCAGATATTGTGCCATTTTATAAAGGAACCTGAGCATGGAGGATTTTGGTATCTTCAGGTATCCCATGGATACCAAGGGATGACAGCAGTTTCTCATCATCAAGCTTCTTCAAAAGGAAGTTGAAAACTAGTGGTCTTTAAAACCCAGAAGCTTATCTGGCTTTTTATGGCCATGCAGGGGTGTCTAACCTACAGCCTGTGGGCCACATGCAGATTATTTGAGAACTTTTTTGCTTATCTGTGGTGACAGATATCACAGAAATTATTCATGGGCCTTTTTTTGGCTCATCATCTTTTGTTAGTGTTTGTATATTTAATGAGTGGCCCAAGACAACGCTTCTACCAGTGTGGCACAAAGAAGCTAAAAGGTTGGACATCCTTGGAAAGAAGAAAGGAAAAATAAAATAAAACAACTAGTGATGTCCATTCTAAATTTAAACTAATCTATATTTCTTTATCTTAAGATAAAGTAATAGTAATTAAACATATTTTATGACTAAGCAATTCTTTTAAGCTTAGAAGTTAAAGATTACTCTGAAAATAAAGCTGTTTTGGTGAATTTTGACAAGCGTTTTTTTTTTTTTTTTTTTAAACATGGAAGTGGAGTGGTAGAAGGCCAAAGAGGAAAGCCACCACTTTGTAGAACATGCTAAAGTTACCTGATTAGAACTCTAATTTAATTAATCAGCAGATTAGATCTCTTTATTTGCTTCCATATCAGTGTGAAACAGACCTTTCACAGCACACTATCTGAATTGAAAGTACCCTTGTATTGCCGAGAGTAGTGGCTCACACTACTCTAGTAGTAATCCTAGCACTCTGGGAGGCTGAGGTGAGTGAATTGCTAGAGCGTAGGAGTTCGACACCAGCCTGATTAAGAGTTTAGAGATCCTGTCTCTACTAAAAGTAGAAAAAATTAGCCAAGTATTGTGGCAGGCACCTATAGTCGTAGCTACTTAGGAGGCTGAGGCAGGAGGATTGCTTGAGCCCAAGAGTTTGAGGTTGCTGTGAGCTGTAACTCCATAGCACTCTAGCCTGTAGCAACAGAGTGAGACTCTATCAAAAACAGTATTCTTATATCCAGATAGATTATTTTTTAAGATTCTTTGTCTTGGGCAAAAAGACTACAGTCATTTTTAGTCCCATATTTTCTTTCAATAAGAAAGACCTAAAAAGTTTTTAGTTCCATCAAGGTCTTTTAGCCTGTATGTGAAAATAAACTTACTCCCTCTTGGTTTATCCTTTTCAGCATAAATGTCATGAAACAGCTTATTGGTTCATCTAACTTGTTTGTGATGCAGGTGGAAATGGATGTATACACAGCTCTAAAAAAGGTACTGACATCTGTGCAACATTGCTTGTAATTGTAAAAAATTGGAAATAGCTAGTGTCCAGTGATAACTAGATGGTTATAAATGTAGGAAAAGGAAGTATGCCAAAATGTTTTTTAAAAGTCTTTATATTTAGGAATTTGGTATCTTT